TACATACATACATACATACATACATACATACATACATACACACATACGTAACGACAGACAGACAGACAGACAGACAGACAGACAGACAGACAGACAGACAGACAGACAGACAGACAGACAGACAGACATGCTTACGTACATGCTGTAGCTCATTGTGCAGATTCTCCGTATCTGATTCACCCGCGCTCAATTTTGCTGCCACGATTCCGAGGCGACTGTGCTCCTCTTCAGGCACCGGGGTGTGTTTCGTTTTTGAGGTTACAGATTGGGTTGGAGACATTTCGGTGTAGGGGCGGCCATCAGCTGTTTGAGCCCGTGGTTTGCCAAGAACACCCTAAACCCTGAACCCTAAACCCTGAATCCTAAACCCTGAACCCGAAACCCTGAACCCTGAACCCGAAAGAGGCGGCGAGTGCCGTGCCGAAAAGCCATGGCACTGACGGGATGCCTGTGGCGCCTTGGCTTCTGCTCTCTGTCTCTGGGTCTCCACAAAGCCAATACCCCCTCAATTCAGGCATATGCCTTAAATTACTATATATCTATAATATATTCATATATAATATAATCTCATATATATGTATATATATATATATATAATATTAAGGTATATGCCTTAATTAAGGGGTATTGGGTTCTCTGGGTGGGTCCCGCTCTTTGAGACCGAGCGTTGTGTAAGGCTGGCCTCCATTGTTGGCATGTGGGCTGGTGACCAGAGTTATGGACATTACATGATCGGCTACTACACCTACCAGGAGCTCCTATACGCTCGCGGCTGGGAGGGCTGTTTGTTTCTGACGTCAATTCCACGGAGGACCTGGTGTCGTACACAGATGTGGATCCCGCCCACGCGAAAGGGCAGAGCTACATGGATGCTGGCGAGGCTCAGAGAGAAACCCATGGCGCGATGCAAATGTTGGAGCTCTTTGCCTTCGTGATTTGTCAGGTCTATTTCAAGGAAGGCACAGAAGTCGCGACCAACGAGGTCGGGGTGTTTTAAGCTTTTTGACCGAGTCAAGAAATCCCAATCTGTCGCCCTGGCAGATGGTGTCCTTCACCAGCCGCACGAACTTCTGTGCTGCGCCGATCATCGGCACGGGGCCTGTCGGGATATCTGCGATGTGCTTCCTTTCCATTTTTTCATTTTCACCGTGGACCTTCATTGACATGTGCCAGAGAGGTCAGCCGCTGCGCAACCAAGCAGGCCCCGATGAAGCAGGGGCCTCGAGTGGCGTCTTCTTTGGCTGATTCTGTCCCAGGGGCGTAACTCGCACAAAGGGGTGATCTCTTTCGTTGCTGCAGGTGGCAGCGGAAGGGGGCGTTGTCATCCCAGAGGCCTTAGACAGCTTGATCTGTTTGACAGGCGGGTGGGCGAGTCTTTGTTCACTGGCCTAGGCCGGCTCCATCGACTTCTGGGCCGTGGGCACCAACTGCTGCGACAAAGCCAGCAGGACGACTGGGAGTTCTCAGTTGCAGCCCGTCTGCTTTCTGACAGAATCTTCCTTGCAGGACATTTACATGCGGGCAGGTGCGTTGCAGCGATGTTTGAACTGCGCCATGTGCATCGGAGTTTGGCCAGAAATGTGTGCAGTGACATCAGTTACGTCATGGTCGGCTCGATCTTTATCTCATCTTCGACCGAAGATAGACTTAGATCTGGGCAACGAGTAGACTCAACCAGTTTAGGGCTTTGGGCAGCAACCTAAGATCCACGACCCATGGTTATGATTCATGTTATGATTACACTGACTCTCGCTCGTCGAGCCCCTTGCTTGTGATAAGACTTGTAGACTTGTTTTACTACTACGATTGATGAGATAAATCCTGCATCACCCATAATACGGAGAATGCAATAATTCCCATTGTTTAGAGTCGTGAAGGTACTGAAAGGTTTATATCATCAACAGTATCATGTTCCGGCTCTTCGTATCTTGATGTTGCCATTCACGCCAAATCTCTGGAATCGCCCTAAACCCTAAACCCCAAAACCCATGGCCTCGGGAACCCATGGCCACTGGGCGGCCATCGCGCCGGAAGGTCGGGGCTGTTTTGAGCTGAGTCTTGACTTTCAGAGCTGGGGATGCTTGAGAGCTTTCGGTGAGGGTTTGGGCTCCTGGGTCGTGCATTCGGACCGAAGGTGGCGGGCTGAACGTTTGAAAGCACTGCGCAGAGCTCGCTCTCTGAGAAAGAACCGCTGCGCAATCCTAGCGTGCTCTCCCACATCTGGAGCTAGCTTGCGTCATTCTCCGGTCTTTTGTCGCCTCGTGCAGTCTTTCGCCTTTGTGTCCCCACCCTGGGAGTAAGATTACGCTACCGGAAAGAGAAGACTCCGAGATGTATGCAGCTCCTTAAATTAGGGTCGCTTTTTAGGTCCCCAAGATAGCACGGCACCCTTACAAAAAAGGACCCCTTTTTAAGGGACCCTCTAATTTAGAGAACAGCCCATGGAAAGCCCTGCGAGATCGTCGCCTGCTCTTGGGCGCTGGTGGCGTGACGGCCTCCGTGCTGGCTGCCAGGGCAGCCAGAGCTGGAAGCCCAGAGGGCCAAAGGGTTCAGGGTTTAGGGTTTAGGGTTTAGGGTGGGTTCAGGGAGCGACAGAGAGAAATGTCACCATGATGGGGAGGAGTTTATATCATGCCAGATTTTTCCATGAAGATGAGCAAAGCATCTAGGTGAGGACTGAGGGCCACAGAGCCGGGAGGCCCTGACCTCTTGAACGCCATCCGCATATAGAGATCTGATGTAGCCGTTAAGCCGGAAGCGTACATAGGCGGAGCCCGTTGTCGTCAGAGGGGAGCGCTGTTTCGTCTAAGCCCAAGCCCTGAATACCAGGGTATTGTAGGCCCTTCCAGTGCAAAGTCTTGAGAGCCTTGTAACAGCGTTGCTCCAAGGTCCGGCGTTTGGGACCTGCTGCTTCGTCCTTGGCCGCCGCATTAGGCCTTGCGATGAAGATGTTAGCTTTGAGTTGGGAGAAGCTGAATCCGGGTTTTTTTGGTTTGGTGTCCTGGTTTTCATTTCCGAATTAAGCAGTGTTGAAGAATGGCCTTGTGGTGACCGACTGCAGGTTGACCTAAACCTTGTAGCGCTCGGTGAACAGATTTAAATTTACATTGTCATCTGCATCTTGTCATTCGGCTTCTACGCGCATCTGCATCTCAACATCGGTCCATCTGTCGTTACGTTGACATGAAACTTTCGATGTGCCTGCCTAGTGTATGCATCTATCTATCAATCTATATTACCGATCTACCCATACCGTACATCTACCCAGTTCTATCTATCTATCTATCTATCTATCTATCTATCTATCTAGCTATCTCTACCTACTTACATACCTGTTTTTGTATGTTTTTTGAATATCCTTCTCTCTTCCTGATGACCAACTACACCGACCTATACAGATGCTCCGAGTTTTTGTGCTTATGCATATATGCGTATACGCATACACATGCATAAATGACTTTCGACACATGTACTCATCCACAAAGTGCATAACTGCCAAGCATACATATCCACGTGATAGATTTATGCTTATATTTGCACTCTCTCTCTCTCTCTCTCTCTCTCCCTCTGTCTCTCTCTTTCTCTTTCTCTCTCTGTCTCTCTCTCTCTCTCTCTCTCTCTCTCTCCGGTACACAAGACCGTGCAGACTTGACCAGACCTGAGACACACATGCAAGCAATGGCTTGCACGCAGCTTTGATACGGTGCTGTAAGTACGCAGAGAGAGAGAGATAGAGATAGATAAATGAATCGGTAAATAGTTACACAGATGGAGAGACACCAATATACATATATAAGCATAACAACAAGTAGCCAGTCATATTCAGGAAAGATATAGTTACACATGGGTGCAGACAGATGACAGACAAACAGATGAAGCAAGACAACTACAGATACGGCTGACAACAGACACAGACACAGACAAAGGGAGAGAAAGTGTAACACATACAGAATCATAGTTAGAGGGAGATTCTGACTTGAAACTTATCTGACGGATGTTGGCCTATCCTGCTACATCCGACTTTTGCTGCGCGAATATATATCGTTTACGATGTTGTAAGGCAGTTGCAGTGGTAGCTTCTCGTACCTTCAGCACTCGACTCCGTTCCGATGGTTGTTCGCATGTTGCTCAATGTCTACCTCGCCCAGCGTTGCCTGACACCGCCTGGCATTGCTCGGATTTGTGTTCTCCTGTTCGTCTGTGTTAGAACCCTGAACTCTTAAACCCTAAACCCTAAACCTGGTTCCGGGTGTGGAGCGTGGTGCTTTCCCGTAAGTGCACTCAGGAGAGGTGAGCCTTGGAAGTCGACTTTATTAGCTTCCAATATCCTTGTGACCGCGAGCTCAGAACCTCCCCAGCTTTATTTGCTCTAAAACCCCTAAAACTAAAACCCCTAAAACCCCGAACCCCTGAATCCCCAAAGCCCCTAAAGACCTAACAGCTGAACCCCTAAACACCTAAACCCCTAGACCCCAAAACCCCCAAAGCCTAGGAAGCCTTAGGCCCTTACCCCCCCAAGCGGAGGCGCGGCGGCCCTGGCCGGGGGGGTTGCCTCCAAGCATGGGGCGCTGGCTGAGGATCCGGTGATTTCGAGGTTTAGGGTTTAGGGTTTAGGGGTTTAGGGTTTAGGGGTTTAGGGTTTAGGGTTTAGGGGTTCATGTGTTAGGGGTTTAGGGGTTTAGGGGTTTTAGGGATTTAGGGGTTTGGGGTTTTAGAGGTTTAGAAGCGCTTTGAGATGCTCTCAGATGTCGAGAGGACACCTATCTATCACAACGAAAGCTGAGGTTAAAGACAGAAAGAGTTGTTGATCATAGTGGCACTAGCAATAAGCATCTGTTTCTAACCGTCTCTTTCTGGAAGACTGGATGCTGCTCCCCTGAGGCTCAAGTGGTAAGGCTGGCACCAGTCCGCCCTCACCGTTCAACAGCTTAGAGTGAGCCTTTCTATCTCAAAGTTCTATCAAACGCCCTTAGATGTACCTGCAAGTGAAGCTTTTCTTGACAGCTGCGTGTCGTAGCTCGTTCTGAATCCTCCGTCCGAAGCTCCGATGATGACAAAGGCTATCAGGCAGCATGTGCCAATTTGGGTTTAGGGTTTAGGGTTTAGGGTTTAGGGTGTTGACGGTCTTGGATGTGGCTGTAGCCGAGCCTTGCTGTGCAGCCATGTGCTCTTTCCTCGTCAGCAGCTGGCTCCTGTCGAATCTGACCTATGTAAACTTCTTCATGCGGCCACGAGGGCCCGACCTCACGACCAGAGCTGAACTCCACAACTTCACTTTCGTCCACAACTTACTTCATATGACCGGCAACCCGCCCTTCACGGAGTGCATAAAAGAGAGAACTTTCGGGGGGCTCTTTACATTTCTGTTGTTCTCCTGCTCTCTCTCTCGACAGAGGTGAGCGGGTTCCGCAACCCTTCGTCAGCCTTGAGGGCGATGTGGTAGCGCTCTACAACGGCGAGATCTACAACTTCCGAGACCTCGTGCCCACTGCTCGCAGTGATGGGGAGGTCCTGCTCCCTCTCTACGCAGAGAAGGGCAGCGCCTTTGTCCGGTCCTTGGATGGCGAGTTTGCCCTGGCAGTGCTGCTGGGCTCTTGTTAAAGGATTTAAGTAATTTCAGTTACCATAATAGGGATCTATAGTGAATAATATGGTCTCCTTACTATAGTAACTTAAATTAAGTCACTTAAAAAAACCCAGGCTGGACTTCCGGCGGGGCCGTGCTGTCTTGTCCACGGACATCTTCTCCACGAAGCCACTCTGGTACTCCACCCACAAGGGCCTCCATTTCGCCAGCTACCGCAGTGCGCTACTGCGGCTGGGCCTGCCCCAAGGAATTCTGTGTCTCTGGCCTTGCATTCCTCCTGCCTTGCCCCTAGCCCTTAAGCCCTAACCCCTAAACCCCTAAACCCTGAAGCCCTACACCCCTAAGCCCCTAAACCCTTAAGCCCCAAGCCCTACAACCCCTAAACCCTTAAGCTCTAAACCCCTAAGCCCCTAAACCCTTAAGCCCTAAACCTTGCCCTTGCGAGGAGAGGTGGCGATGGTGGACCCGAATTCCATTTTGGTCTTCGACCTGAAGTCGCCGGAGAAGCCCCTGATTCAGAGGCACGCGATGCACGAGTTCGACCTGAGGCAGTTCAAGCAGGCCACTTCATAATATAGAAGGTATAGTGTATAAAAGAAAATCTACACACAATATATATATATATATATAAAGTATGATACTGTAAAATATATAATAGAAAATCTATAACAGAAAATGCATAATAGAAGATATATAATCGAAAGTATATAACATATAGTTATGGAAATATTATATAAACGGAAGTTGCCGTTGCCCGACTCCGGAGAAGTACCGGTAGCTTGTGCCTTGTGAAGGACTCCAGGGACTTCCAGATAGCCTTCGAGAAAGCAGTGCGCAAGCGTGTGCAATATGCCATCCATCCGATGCAGCTCTCATGGACTTGCCAGACCGTGTGTGTTTGTGTGTTGTGCTCGCTACTAGTTGCAGAGTTGAGCGTTGAGTGGCAAGAATGTGTTCGAATTTGTCTATGCCAGTCTCAAGTAGAATGAGGTTCATTGGTCTGTCCTCCGGCTACGACAGTGGGGCCATCCACGTCGCACTCGTCAACGACCAGATTGGACACTTTGCCTACACAGTCTACTCGACTGAGGATATGGACATTCTGAAAGAACGCATCGGTTGGGCTGGAAACTGGACCGAGACCAACGTAATCGCATCTTGAAAGCAGCAAGTTGCAATGACTAGTACCGAGGCTATGTATATGCAGAGAGGTATGCTTGTGGGTGTATGCTTGTGCATGCCTTAATGTATGTATGCATGTATGTGCGTACGCACGTACACACATCGGTATCTATGTATATATATATATGTATGTATGTATGTATGTATGTACGTACGTATGCATCTATGCCATACAATGTATGCATCTATGCACATGCACAAATCCATCAACACATAGACATTGAAGATATAGCTAAATAGGTGGATAAATACATAAACATATACATATAGATAAACATAAACATATAGATATACGTATTAGCATGCATGTTTGCAGCTACATGCCATACAAGCATTTATACATACATACATACATACATACATACATACATACATACATACATACATACACACACACATATATATATATATATATGTATTATGTCCGTACAGATACATACACAGTATATATACATATATATATATATACACACACACACACTTAAGTACGTGTATGTGCATATGTATCTATCTACATGTGTATATGCACATGGATGGTGTATAGTATATAGATAGACACATGTCTCTGTAATTGGCATTCGTTGATTCCGCAGGTCCTGAGCGGCAACGACCTGGAGGCAGAAGCTTGGTACTCAGCGGGTAATTTCCTGCATTCCAGCTGCAGCCCCGACGAAATGCCCAAGTCGGTGACCATGCACATCAGTGGCCCAAATGGTCTGTTCAGTCTTCGTTGTCATGACCACCTTACTGCTCAAGGTGCATAATACCTGTGATGCCAATAGAACGAGACCTAAGGCCAACCGCCTGGCATTGCAATGCGAGCCATTCCACTACAGGCCTCCGATTGGGTTGGACTTGTGGTACTGTGATCTCAAAGATCCGAACCACTGAAACGATTATTTTCTATGATCGAAGAGGGGCTTGGGAGAAGCGGGGTGCTGCTCGGAAAACAGCCGTAACAACAAAGACAACAGAAGCAAGCAACAACAACACCAGCAGCAACACCGCCTCCTACAACAACAACAGCAGTAACAACAGTAAGTACCACTACTACGACGACGACTACGACTACGACTACGACTACGACGACGACTACTACTACTGCTACTGCTACTGCTACTGCTACTGCTACTGCTGCTACTACTACTACTACTACTCCTCCTTCTTCTGCTGCTGCTGCTGCAGCTGCAACTGCGACTACAACTGCAACTACCACAATGCATGCTTCTGCTGCTGCGGCTGCTGCTGCTGCTGCTACTGCTGCCACTGCTGCTGCCACTACCACTGCCACTGTGATTGCGACTGCGACTGCGAGTGCGACAGCGACTGCGACTGCGACTGCTGCTGCTGCTTCTGCTGCAGCTGCTGCTGCTGCTGCTGCTGCTGCTGCTGCTGCTGCTGCTGCTAATACTGCTACTGCTACTGCGCCGACTTTGATGCCGATGACGACGAATACTATTGCTACCACTGCTACTGCTGCTGCTGCTGCTGCTGCTGCTGCTGCTGCTGTGACGACGACTACCAGTACTACCAGCGCTGCTGCCATCATCGCTACCATGACACTTTCGCCCAAGCCTTGGCTCAAGCAGTGCCCTGGCAAGAATATGGCGTCCCTGAATGCCGCGGTTCGTGGGCACCTTTGGTGTTCGTGCACAGGCTCAGAGGTTTATCTTGCCGGACAAAAAGACCAAAGCTGTCGGCTGGACTTCGGTGCCCTGTGAATGGCATCTCTCCCTTGTTTACATGGAGATCAACGAACAGTGGCGACAGTCGATCATCTGGGATGATTCAAATGCCTGCTGATGCTGCATGAGAGCTGGTGTTTTCTGCCCATTTCCTGCGATGCCATGTGGGGGTTTCCGAAAATAGGGGACCCTAATATAGTACCCTAAATAATAGGATCCTTATTATAAGGACCCCCAAATAAGGTACCCCTAATTTTCGGAGCCTCCCATGTAGTCAGCCATCTGATTGCAGAGACCAGAGCTTGTTGTGATTGGATGTCGGCAAGCTCGTGACCTCCTGAAGACTGCCAGGGCATGTGCCGGCCTCAGATTTTATCGGTAACAATAGGGCTTCTACCATGCAGAGCAGTGGGAGTAAAGGGCTCTTCCTTTTGCGAAGTGCCCAGATGGCACCATGCGTAGCCTTCCACAACTCCGCAAGCCCGAATCGCAGCGAGAGGTGAAGCCCTGAAACCCGAGAGCACCAGACCTAACGAGCCAAATTCCTGAACCCGTAAACCCTCAAACTGAACGCGAAACCCTAAACCCTAAACCCTAAACCCTCAACCGCATGGTATCTTGATGGCATTGTGCTCAGATCTGTCAAACTTAGACCAAGAAGGCGCCCCCCTTCCCGAAGAGAGAGATACGAGAGGACCTTTTGGCTCGAGGATCGCAAGGACAATGCTACCGAAGTTTAAAAACTTAATACTGATGCGAAGCATTAGACGCACACAGGTTGTGATCAGAGTCCTGGTGGTTCTTGTTGCTTAGCTTTGCATTACCTCGGCTCTTCTTGTTTCGCGCCATGGCGACGCTCGCAGCATCTGCCCGTTCCGACGCAGACTCAGGGGGTATCAACGACAGTAGAAGCACTCAACGGAGAAATGGCAAGGTCAGTCAGGAGTAAAGGATCGAGACCTATTCAGATAGCAATGCGAAGCAGGAAGACTGGTGAAAAGAGTAGCATGGTAGTCGTACTCGAAATAAGAAGCCTCGTATGTGGTAGTAGCAGAGGTAATGTATCTGGCACTGGTTTTTGTTGGTCCGGGCAAAAGTGACCCTAATGTTACGAGTTTAGTGG